CCGAGGGCCCCGGGCGGGACCGGCGGGCGCAGGGATTGTAGGGCCCTTGAAATGTGTATAGGGCGGCGGGTAAAGCCCAGGGAGCCCCATCTGTCCGGGCCCCGCGGAACCCCGTTAGCAGCTGAGAGCCCCGCAGCCCAGACCCCCATTCCAGCAGGGCAGCAGGTGGGGCCTTGGAGCAGGGGCTTTGGAGCCATTCAGCCCAGGGCTCGCATCTGGGCTTGCACTGCGTCCAGCTGTGGGACTCAGGAGAAGTCCCTCCACCTGCTTGAGCCTGGGATTTCCCTTCCCTGAAATGGGAGTGATCTCACTTCCTGTGGAAATGGCTGTTGGGGGCATGAGAGGAGACAGGGCCAGCTTCCTGATTTTTTCGATGGTCAGCACGCACTCGGGCGCCCGGGGAAATGCAGACTCTCAACTCCTGCCCCAGCCTCCTGAAACCTGGAGGACCGGTCCCCAGAAACCTGTAGGATCCTTAGCTTTGGACGAGTGTGAGGCCCGCGGAGATGCTGCAGGACTGGCCTGGGGGGCACCAGAGAAGAACTTCTGTGATGGTCAGGCATGGCTAGGGAAGGAAATACTGCAAGCACCCTGCACCTTTCTCCAGCTCCCTGCATCGTTGGCCTAGGGGATAAGCGTGGGGGATGGGGACAGTTCTGAGCCCGGGGCCTGGGTGTGGCCTTTTTGGGGTCTGCACAGGACGGAGGAGCATGCTCCCTACTGCCCCTCCTGCTGGCAGCAGAGCAGCCCCTGCCCTCTGGAGGCTTAGTAAACCGCAAGCTGTTGAGCCCCAGAAGGGTGACCGTGGCCAGTCAGGCTGACAGACACAGGACAGGGAGCCGTGCTGATGTCCCTGAGGAAAACCATTGGTTCACATCACTGCATCCATCAGGGTTGTTGCTTCCCTGAGGAGTGAGACCCAGGGAACGGGCCACCTCCGCCACCGCTCCAGGACTGTATTTAGCATGGTTGGCTAATCTGGGGGTCCAGGAATGGGGAGGACTTCTTACCAGGACAGTGAGGGCCTGATCCCCGGGCCCATTGCCTGCATTTCAACCCTCACTGTGACTCTGGGCAAGTTGCTAAGCTCTCATATCCTTATATTCCGTGGGGATGACACCAGTACTAACCCGTGGGGCTGGAATGAAGGTCAAATGAGGCAATATTTAGGAAGGGGTTGTTTTGTTTGTTTGGTTTTTTTGAGACAGATTCTCACTCTGTCACCTAGGCTTTAGTGCAGTAGCACAGTCTCGACTCACTGCAACCTCCACTTCTCAAGTTCAAGCGATTCCCCTGCCTCAGCCTCCTGAGTAGCTGGGACTACAGACGTGCACTACCGCACCTAGCTAATTTTTGTATTTTTAGTAGAGATGGGGTTTCACCATGTTGGCCAGGCTGGTCTCGAACTCCTGACCTCAAGTGATCCAC